TATCAGGGAATTCTACGGCAGAGGGACCTTCATCTTCAAATACTGGTCTCGAATGACAGAACACCTTTATGTTTCCTGAAATTAAAGGCATATTCAAATCATTATAGAAAAGGAAAATGCCCATAACAAATTTCTGACCAAAATTTTGTACAGACTGAAAGAAGGAGGGTTGGAAATTGAAGAGAAGAGCAATTGAAACAAATTATCATAGTAAGAGGAAGAGAGCACACAAAGAAGATAGAAATTCACTATCTTGATTGATTTCTGTGCTTCCATCAAAGATTAACCAATTGAACTATAGTCACTCGGCAACTGACTAACAGATAGCTCAACTTCTAAACCAAACAGTTAATTAATGTGTGCGCACCTCCTGCACTGATAGCCAACCAAATGGCTTCAAGATGATCTGTCCATCTCACTTAAACACTATTAGTGTGACTGAGGTCGACCAATCCGGTGATTGGGCAGTCACTGGGGAATTGCTGATGCGAAAGGAGTCCAAATGGAAATTATGTCACTGGTGACTGGACTCTTGTCTGAAAATCATATCTCTTTGGGAGTTCTCCCATTACTTTAATCCAAGAGATTCAATTTCTTCGTGACCACTGACCAAAGTACCAGAACTGGTCCTCAGGAGGAGGAAGGAAAAACGCAAAGTGAAAAATCATTTTCGTGCTTGATTTCTAGCATCCATATACCAATTAATGAATGTCTGAGGTATAATCAGTCCCGAACTAACAGACAGCTCAATTTTTCAGACTACCAAGTGATCAATAAAAACGGATCACGAACTGATAGCTAGCAGCACAATCTCGAGTTGATCTGCACTACATCATTAAAACTCTATCAGTTGTATTCCAGTTTGATCTTACTTGTTAAACTCGAGTTTTGTCATCCTACACACTGCAAAATTGTTCTACAAGTAAGCTATCTCTATTCGTCCACCTGACAGGGACATCATCCCGAAAATAAATTACAATTAAAACAAGAAATTTTCTGACATCTTGGCTCATGCATCCAGGTACTCCCGCTCACATTCTTCGCGTGGAAAGTGGAAGAACTGAATTTAGAAAGGGAAAAACTGACCTCTTGATGTCAACTAGTCATTGAACAACTTCTTCTTCTCCCTAACAAGTGTTGCTATCCTAGCCTCACCTTCAAGGGCAGCTTGTTCTCATACAAACAGAGAACCCAGTCAAAACCAAAAAGAGAAAGCAAACACACGTCAAAGCTACAACAGAGGCCATATCCTCACCTAGCTTCAGCGTCTTGTCAGTGAGAGCGCCCAGGTAGCGCGTGACTCGATCGAGCGTCGCATTGGAATACTCCTGCGAAGAGGCGAGGGAAGCGAAGGCTCTCTTAGGTTTAGCCGATCATCTCGTCTCGCTCGATAGGTTTGGGTTGCAGGCGTGGCAATGTGGAATCCGCGGCCGAATGCCTCCAAGGTCCTCGAGGTATTTGCAATGCTCCGATTGTCTCGCTTTGCTTTTGCTCCGATTGAGTTTGTGGAGTTCTTCTTGCGTTAGTCAGTTCCTTATCGTTGCTGAGCTTGAGAGAGCACTTTCCGCGACAGCTTGCGAGTCAGGATTACTCGGAGTTGAGGCGAGAGGCGAGGGAGCTGCAGGAGTATTCCAATGCGAAGCTCCAGTAATACTGACTCGCAAGCTGTCGCAGAAAGTACTCTCTCAAGCTCAGCAACAAGAAGGAACCGACTAAAGCAAGAAGAACTCCACAACAGTCAATCTCCTACTCGATCGGAGCAAAAGCAAAGCGAGACAATCGGAGCATTGCAAATACCTTGAGGACCTTGGAGGCATTCCGCCTCTGCTGATCGGCCTTCCGCGGGTCCAACATTGCCACACCTGCAATCCAAACCTATCGAGCGAGACGAGAGAGGATCGGCTAAACCTAAGAGAGAGGGCCTTCGCTTCCCTCTTTTAAGCGCGCGCAGAGACAGAAACCTAAGAGAGAGGGCCTTCGCTTCCCTCTTTAAGCGCGCGCAGAGACAGAATCGGCTAACGATATACGAAAAATAAAAAAAGAATATCAAAAGAGAGAGAAAGGAAAAAGATTAATAATAAGGATAATGACATAAATAGTTCATGAACTTTGACTTAACATGTAATTTGATCTCTGAACTTTTAATTTATTCAATATAGTCCCTGAACTTTAACATAATGTTCAATTTGATCCCTGAATTTTTAATCTGTTTAATGTGGTCCATGAACTTTTAATATGTGTTCAATTTAGTCCTTGAACTATATGAAAATATTTAATATAGTCCATGCACTTGAATTAATGGAAAGACTATATTGAACATTTTCAAATAGTTCAAGGACTAAATTGAACACATATTAAAATTTCAAGAACCACATTGAATAAATCAAAAGTTCATGGATCAAATCAAACATTAGGTTAAAGTTCAGGGACTACATTGAACAAATTAAAAGTTCGGAGATCAAATTGCACATTTGATCAAAGTTCATGGACTATTTATGTCATTTTTCCTTAATAATAAGAGACGGCTCTTTTGCTTTTAGGGGCTCCGCGTTACGTCACGCCTCGCTCTAGATGCTTCCGTCATTTATTACCTATTCTGCCGCCGTCCCGATTAATCAAAAAAAAATTTATTTGTTACGTTTTTTTTTTTTATATATATCAGGGAGAGAAAATGAAATTTCATTTTCAGGGATAAAGGGCGCGGGGCAGGACAAGGTGCGCGGGCGAGGATTGCTTCGTTCCTCAGTTTCCCGAGAGCGTGGTTTCTTCCGGTTAGGATGGGAAGTTGTCTTTTTTTATTATTTTCGATGCTTAAAAAATGCTTTCCGGTAGACCGATTAGTTTTCCGTCGCTCAAATACCGAAAAATCGAAAAAAAAAATTCGAAAATAACTTTCCTTCGAACAAATAAACCTCAAGCGACGTGATAAATTATTATTATACTGTAACGTGATTTATTCATGTAAATGCCTAGTTTTGATGTGCCATATCAGCAATGAGTGATAAAAAAAAGGGGCTAATTTCCTTAGAAAGCACAAATTATTAAGCGCCTCCCTATCGTGGCCAACCATTTTTCTGGTCTTATAAAAAGCAGTGATTTTAATTCGGTTTCCCTCTTGCCCCATCCTTTTTTTTTTTTAAGGTTATGGAGAAAAGAAAATAATCTTTTTCTCTCTGATCGGATGTAAGAACGTAACGATAGGAAGTTCCCATTTTGCACCTCGAAGTTTCCGGCATCTCCCCTTTCAGATTTGTGCAAGCTATATAGCACATAACTCTCAAAGCTTTCTCAACCTCCTAATACTGTTGGGTAAAACTTTCTATAACACTATGAGAAATATCTAGAATTTCTAGTTTCACCAAAGACCCCATGCTTTCTGGCATTTCCCCTTTCAGATTTTCTGCAATACGAAGCATGTAACTTTCAGAGCTTTCTCAGCCTCTCGATATTGTTGTGTAATTCTTCTATACCACTCCAAGAAATATCTAGAATCCTTAAATTCTCCAAAGACTCTATTTCTGCTGAAAGCTCCGTGATTCTCGTTCACTCGCACAACTCCAAGCGAAGGAGGGCCTTCATGTCTCCAATTCAAAAGTCATTCTGCTTCGGTTTCTAACAAAAAATGAGGATCAGAACCCGTAAATTCTTAAAATCTGAGAGGAAGTCCGTATTTTCCAAGTAATAACAAAAAATGAGGTTGAGAGATTTGAGCTTCTCTATCATCTGATAAGAAAAATGATTGTCAAGGGGTTACTCTAGAGTGATTATGATTCAAAAGAAAGCATAAATAGAAGAGAGAGAGATGTTCTTTCTTACCATTAAAGAACTCCATTTTTCCCATTGATCATATATATTGCTTTTTGATAATTTCAGTACAACTAATTCCTCTGCTGGAAAATTGTCTACTTCCAAATTAATGGGACATTTTCGCCGTCGAAGCCATATGAGGTGACGCACATCTAATACCTAAAACATATTGCGAGACTATAATTGAGTCTCGAAATTTTTAAGAAGTGGAATTAAATTTTAAAATTTGTCAAATTAGTAAAGTCAAGTTCCTTCATTATCACTCATTAATTTGATTAAAACACGCGACGAACGTCAGGTACCGTATCAAGAAATTTTTTTGTAAGTTTAAAATGACAAAAAAATGGATGGATAAAGCAAAAAGGATGTATTGACATGATTTTGGTTTTCATGCTCTCGCTTTCTCGCAGTAGCTCATATCCCAGCAAAAGAAGCCAGCAAGAAGGACCTTGAACAGCCGTGACCAAGCTTGATTGGCCATGGCTGTGAGCTTGAAGGGGCTCGGAAGCTGGAGCGGCCATGATCGATCTCGACGAAGCTCAATTGGCCACGGCCACGAGCTCGAAGATGTCTAGAAACTGGAGCTACCATGACCAGGAGCTCGAAGAAAGATATATAGACCCAATGATAATATCATTTTACTTATTAATTAGAGAGAGATACTTGAAATCTATGTGTTAATATGAATCAAGAAGTCACTCGTCGATATCGCGCAACAAACTTGAGCGTGTTCTAAACACACGATACGGGTTTCGATATCTCATGCTAGGTAAGTACTAATGATTCGAAGTCTAGGCCACCAAGAGGGACGAATCATTTCACGGATTGCGGTTCACCTCCTCGAGATGGACCGACCTTTTTAATTATTAGTAGAGGAAAAATCGATGAATCTATTATGCCGATTCACGTTTCCTCTTACGCTCGACGCATTTCATCAGTACCACCTATATATTCTAATGTTTATTCCTAAATAAAAAATTTTACATCCCGTTCCCCCCCTCCCGAATTAGGTTTATTGCAATCTTTCTTTCCCCGATCTTGACATAAACGAGATGGCCGGGCGGCATCGTCGGCCGAAGTCTGTCGGATGTGGAATTATATAACTCGGAAAACTCATTCTCAATTTCAAACCGTCGCAAACCAATTAAAAAAGAAAGAAAATAAAATAGAATAAGAGCGAAAAACATAAAAATATAATAAAATAATAAAAGTTTATGGGTTTTGCACGCTACAAGCCCCGATCCATCATCGCCTTGTACTGGTTCAAAGAGTCCTGCCTCTGCAGCCTCATCTCCTCGTTGAACTTCCTTATGAACGCCTCCACCCGTCGGTTCAGCTCGTCCTGGCTCGGCGACGCCGCCCCGCCCTCCTTCCCCCCCCTCGCCGGCGACGGCGGCGGTGGCGACGGCGACGAAGCCAGCAGCTGATTCGTCCGGTCCTTGAACGTATCCGACTTCCTCATTGCCGGCCGGGGCTGATGATCGAGCAGGTCCGCCCGGTTCTCCTCCCCCCACGTCTCGGACTTCCTCAGGCGGCGCCTCGCCAGCGGCACGGCCCGGCCGTCGGTGATCGCCTTCCACGTGTTCTCGAGCGTTTCTTGCCGCTTCGGCTTGATTACTCCCAGAGCTTTTCCGATCGAACGAAAAAATCACCGGCGATCGGCAATCAGTTTCATTCTTTTTCGATCTTTGAAATTAAAGTTGAACTGAGCTGGAAGCGTACCTTCTTCGGGGCTGGCTTTGGACGGTCTCCGTTGGACGAACCTGGAAGAAACCAGCGTTTTCTCCTCCGGCGAGTTCGTCCTCCTCGCCGCCGGCGCCCACGCGGACCTCGAAATCACGAACTCCTCGTCTTCCTCCTCCACGCGGTCTCCGCGTCCATCTCCGCCGCCTTCTTCGGCTACCGATCGCTCCGCACTCTCCGCCTCAGGAACCCCAACCGGCGCCCCGCTCTCCTCGTAAGCGACGTCCTCCCGCGGCGAGGGGCAGACTATTCCGTCGGGAAGCAAACCGAAAACGTCGCCGCCGCCGCCGCCGCCGCCCCCCAGGGACGACTCCGTCGTCTCCGAGATCACCCGCGCCGCCACCTCCTCCTGCTCCCCGTGGCGGTTGGCATGGAGCCTGGAGGAAGCGGCGATGGTGGCGATGATGCCGTTGATGACGAGGTAGACGTAGGGAGGCTCGAGCCACGAGAGGAGCGAGAGCCACAGGAGAGGGATCTGGACCTTCGCGAGCTCGGAGATCGACGGCGCCGAGAGCCTCAGGGCCAGGGCCAGGGCCGCCGCGAGCACGGCGGCCGACACGGCCGCGCCTCTGGCCGAGAGCCACCGAGCGCTGGAAGACGACGCCGCCGCCATTGTTGGTTGCTGTGTTGAAGCTTCGAGCGATCGAAAGCTCTGCTAGAGAGAGAGAGAGAGAGAGAGAGAGAGGGAAGATGGAAATGACTAAAGCGCTTGAGTCGCGTCATAAAAAGCGTTTGTTTTTTTGGGCTCGAGGCTTCGAGTGATTCCTGGCCGTTGGATGCGGTAGTAGACGGTGGATGATGAAATCCCGGAAAGTTCCGATATAAAGTTTGGAGTTTCTTTTCGGGAAATGTGAAGTCGCATTAAATGCGCCTTCAAAATAAATATAAAAACTGAATTTATTTGAATTTTTTTTTTCGCATTTTATTCTTTTTGATGATGCGTAATTTTGTTAGACTATTATGTATTTTGCCGAAGTATCCACGTCTTGCGAAGTAAATTACATGTCTCGTTTTATTGTAATTTGACATTTGAAAATATTAAATTCGCATTAAAAAATTATCAAGGAAAAATAATTTTTCGATAAAGGCGTGCATGTAAGAAGGGGATTCGGGCCATCCTTGTCCTAGCGATTTTCATCTTTGGAGTACACGAACGCCTTTATCATTTTCAACTTCATGCATGTAAGCCTATGCGTGATAGTCGATCAAATCGGACTATATTTGCTATGGATTTTATCAATACCCCTGTAAAGACACTGATCGAGATTAAAAATTCGAGAAAAACGAGTACAAATTTACCGACTTTAAATATCGTAATTCATATTTCTACGGAGAGTCCCAAATAAAGAAAATGTGTTTAGGACAACTTCGTAACATTTATTCCAGTTTTCTAGGATGAAAAACATTTTTTGATTGTTAAATTAATTAGTTATTTTTTTGGTCAGAAAATTAATTAGATAGCCCAGTAGAATTTACGCAAAGTAATTACGAAGCCGCTTTGCTCGGAGAATGTCGGTACGTAGTCCTCGTTTCGTCCTGCGAGGAACGCAACGGTCATTTTTATGACCGTTGCAACCCCCCCCCCCACCAAAAAAAGCGTCGTCGTTTATTTAATATTTCAAATCGAGTGGCGTGCTACCGCACGTGACCTGAAATCCTCCTCGTGCGTGGGGGCAATGCTGCTTGTTTCCTACATGCCCGAGACCGGGGGAATTTTTTTTTTTTTGGGATTGGATATTGATATTGATTTTCGTTGGAAAAAAATTGGAAAGATTATTTCCACGCGCATCATGCTATCGGGAATACCATCTACCGTGCACTAGGGTTGTCAAAACCAAACAATATATCCGAATCGAAACACGAACCGACCCAATCCGACCCGAAGTTTTGGATATTTTCGGGTCGGGTCAACTTCATGTTCGGGTATTAGCTAAGCAAATGGGTATCTCAATGGTTTCGGTTCGGTTCGTGTTTAGAACACGAACCGAACCGAACCGAAATACATATTTTTTTATTTTTTATTTTTAGAACCGAAACACATTTCACTTTGTAGCACTGTCGTTCAACTTCGTCCTCCTTACATGACGTGTTTGAAGCTAAATTACTCAGCCGACAGTGTTGGCCGTCTTCCTCAATAATCGAATTTAGCGCGTGGAAGCACTGAAAACTGATGGGAAGATCGTCGCTTGCTTCCGCAACCACCGAGAAGCACGCTCTTTCCTATCGAAAAACTCTCCTATCAGGATGCGGGCGACGCTTAACACACGGACCAAATAACCGGCACTCGCTACAGTATCTAGACATATGTACTGGGAACACATCAGAGATCACCAGCGCACAGCAAGGAGGGGGAGGAGGAGTTGGCAACAAATTTCTCCGCCAAAATTTCCACTTTGCATCTTCCCATTTTCAAGCTCAGTCAAGCACGCGCACCCCCCTCAAGCCTCTCGCACAAACATCCAGACTTCAATTTTTACCAAAACAACGACAAAGTTCAGGCCCTTTTTCAAATTCTTTCAACACCCAACACTATATATCATCACAACTTCAAAGGGTACGCACAGAACGAGCGGAAATTCCCAGAAAAAGAACCGTCGAATCGTTCGATCAAGATCAAGATCAAGCTCAGCCGCGAATAGAACGCAATGCTGCGAAATACAGACAATGTGGTGCGAGACGCGGGATGGAGAGACAATGAGGGCAGACCTCGCCCAACACCGGCGAGGTTCGCCCTCGCCTGGGCGAGCGAGGTCGGCCCTCGCCCGACTCAGGCGAGGTCGACCCTTGCCCGACGCCGGCGAGGGTCGACCTCGCCGAGTCGGGCGAGGGCCGCCCTCGCTCGCCAGCGAAGGCGAACCTCGCCGACGCCGGCGAGGGCCGCCCTCGCCCGGCGCCGGCGAGGGCCCCCCTCGCCGGATCCGGTGAGGGCAGCCCTCGCCCGACGCCGGCGAGGCCCCCCCTCGCCGGAAAGGAAACAAAAAGAAAAAGCAAAAAAGACGAAAATGCCCATGGACTAAATACATTGGGGTAAATGTGTCACAAAAAGCAAAGTTAGGGGTTTTTGGTGTCACAAAAAAAAGTTCAGGGTAAATGTGTCACAGATGGCAAAGTTTGGGATTTTTTGTGATTTTTTCCCAAAAAAAAAACCACCCGTGAACTTTTCCATCCAAGTAAGCTTATATTGTAACTCACATGCAAACGATGATGTGCACAAATGACGTGTCATTTGAAGAAATTATTGGAGGAACAAAGTCACAGCATGTCGGGGACCAAAAAGTGTCGGTGCAATGCATGATGTGCATGCATGATAATCATTTACATCAGCTTCTTCATCACGACCAAGTCCTTCCACAGCTACTTTTGATCACATCTGAGCTTGGGTTCTGGCATTTAGGCTAAGCGATGAACTCCTCAAACTACTCGAATGTCTCTGTTCAGGGGCCAGGAAATGCTGTCATCGGCTTATTAGCAGACGGTATTAGAGATCGATGGTAGATGGCCTTTAAGTGTGGACGAACAGGAAACGGATTGGCCAACCCTCTACTCCAGTGACAACAAAAGCTTTCAGACTAACACAAGAAGAATCTCAATGCCATATAATATGAGTAACACCATACTGATCACTTTACCGAGGTTCAACAAATATAAGTACCTAAATCTATCAGAACACCGAATCCAAGAGACAAGAGAGACAGTACAACCTTTGCTACAATCTGTATCCCAGATGGAAACACTGTTTTCTATGTTCAACACAATGATATAAGCATGAAAGGCATTCAAAGAAGGTCCCAACTACACCTGAAATGAATCTTGGAAGTCTTGTTATTTCATCACCGTAACCAAAAGAAACATAGAATGCTGCCCTTGTTTGCCAAGTTATTGCTCGGCTTCTTTGAAGAAACAAAGTTTTGTTGAGCCCACGTGAACAAATAGTCTCTTTGCCAGCTGTGACTTACGGTGACATTATAAATCATAAATCTTATTTACGAAGAAGAACTCAAAGTTAAAAGAGAGAAAAACAGACCAGTTAAGGTGGGCCATTTCTCCTATCTTGTGTTCTCTTTGGAAAAGACAGGTTTTATCTTTTTCCTGACCAGATCTTGTTTCCTCTTTATCTTAACCTGCAATAGAAAGGTCGTGCAGAGACGTGTGAGGGCAAGCAACAAGAGAAACAGAGCAAATGCATACATTTGTTCTCAAAGTTAAATACAGAGGACAGCAATATCTTGATGGACAGTTTCAGTGAGGCAACCTGCAACAACTTTCCAAAAGTAGGGCAAACCACCATTTGTCATTTCTCTGCACAATACTTATCATCCCAAGGACAGTGGAAAAACCAAACTCCTGTGTCGGCACACGCCGAACCTCAATGTCATCAGTAATTGAATTTGCATATAACATGACAGCAAAAGAAATCTATTTGCTTTCTAATCAGAGGATACCAAAGTTCGAGCAAGAACTGCAAATTCAATTCAGTAACAGAAGTAAACTTAAAAAGAAACAACAGTTATAAACAGGAAGCACGACTGCTAGTTAGAGAAAGCATGCACCAAAACCCAGTTGTGATAGCAAATCCAGGACAAAATGTTGGTCTATCCACTGCACTAGAAAGAATATGGTGTATAGTAGTAACTCAGTCATAAGCAAGAACACATCGACAGTATGACTAAGAGTAAATGGGAATATAATCAAGATTATTGCAACTGCTTCGAGAAGATACATATGCTTCCTGTGTAATGTTCTTCCCTTATACCATTGTCTTTTCAAAATCAAGATTCTAAAATGGGCTCAAATTTACATATGATTACATAAATAATAAGAATATAATTGAGAATAAGAAGCTACATCCTGACTACATCTTTACAGCTTGCTATCCAAAAAAATCTCCCAGTTGTATACTTTCACATCGAACTTGGAGTCACTTTGAAGAATTTCTCTTAATTCCCTGGCACAAGCTTCATCTCTGGCAAGAAGCAATGCAAAGCCCCCACCACCTGCTCCTACAAGCTTGTAACCGCAGCAGTACAGATCAGCAAGCGTAAATAGACTATCAACAAATTCATTGCTACAATAGGGATCCAACTCCTGGTGCAACCTCCATGCCTCCATCATTATTTCCCCAAGCTTATCAATGTCACAGTTCATTAAAGCTTCCCTCCCTGTTTTTGCTAATTCAGTAAGGCGCTTGATGCTGGAAACAAGGAGGTTGTCACGTCTTAGATATCGGGCCACCACCTTTTGCAATACTTGGTGTGCTAGACGAACCTGCACAGACATTCTGTTATTGCAGTTCTCATCACATTCCTCCACATATTGAACTAAATCATGCACCAATTCCCCAAAAAATTGGGCAAATGAGCTCAGAATAAATAACACGCCAAAATTGACGGCTACTCATCTCCAATACTAAGGCTACAAAAGGAAAAAAAGATTTGCATCCAGAAATCAAGACAAGAAAATACACTTGGAAGCAAATAATAATAATCGTGAGACAACATAATTGTTTTGTTCTAGTTACAAACAATATTGCACATAAAATGGAGAAAGAGGCAGGAATACATACTTGACCAGTGAAAACAACCAGTAACCTCTGCTGCAACTCTGATATCAACTGAGCTGAAGCCAAGAGGGGAACAACTTGAAGCTGTAATGGAACTCCAGGAAAACTAGTCGTAAATTTAATCCCAGGATACAAACCTCCAATTTGATCCTGCCAGCCACCTCCTGTTCCCATAATTTGTTCTAATACCAGAACAAGCCTGGCAACATTTTCATTGCTTTCATCTCCATCAGTTATCTGTAGAAGTCCTTTGACAACAGCAGCTGCGAGGATGCTGGAAGTACCCAAGCCACTACCACGAGGAACGTTGGCCCAAGTTTTGATCTGCAAGCCCATAGACGAGAGTACCTTTTGATTAAGCACTCCCGTCACAAGCAATGCAGATTTAACTAGCCGAAAAGGATCGCCACTATCAAATGGCGCAACAATGGAGGCAAGATCTTGCACGTATAAATGGCTTCCAGAATCATCGTTAATCGATACACCAGCTTCTTTTGTTGTTTCTATGATAGTGCCAATAGGAAGAGAACCTTCCAAACTAATTGCCATATTCAGAACACAACCAGCGCGCTCTAAGCTCCATGGGGGAGTGTCACTCCAACCTCCGACAAAATCAACACGAACTGGTAACTCAACTTTTATACTTTTAGGATGGAATATCTCATCCAGAGAATCACTGAGATGATTGTTCAGGCTTGCTGACTTCTGAGGGTACTCCATCAGATTTTCTGAAGGCAAGGAGATCTATGGTCAAAATTGGCAAAACGTAAATAATGAAAAGAGAGAAGTTTATATAAACCCGAAGGGAATGATATTATGCTAATAATAACACATGAATCGTTAATATGAGTAATGGACAGCCTAATCTAAGCAAGAAAATTGAAAATCTGGCCTTTCCACAAAGGCCAAAAAATGATAAACCAATTAAACAAGATAAGCATATTTTGTTATAGGGAGATGTTCTTCTGTACATTTACTATTCTATATCCTGGCAAAAGTGTCGAAAAGCTGATAGATGACTGTACCTTGAAAAGCATATCTAACTGCTGAAGCAGTTTCCTTAGCAACAGCATCCCAAACCTTATGCTCTAAATCTTGGGCTGTTGCTTCATCTCCACATGCCCTAAGAAGATCCATTTGTACCTGGTATTGCCGGCTTTTGGGAAGTATCCTTGAGTTTTGTTCCTGAAGACGGGGACACATCCCTAAGAAACTTTTACATATTTCTACTCCTGAAACTTCCATTTGCAAGATTTCTCCACATAGTTGAGACAAATCACGCCCAACCAAGCCATATTCAATGCAGGCTTTAGCAATTCCAGCTGCAAGATGAGCTTGGTGATCACTTGAACCCATACACATTTTTGAGAAGTCTATTGATCTATGTAGCTCCTCCAAGCTAAGACGTCGAGAACCTCTCCATAAGGGAAGCAAGAATTCAGTTCTTCGATCACTTAAACCCATCAGCCATGTGGCTAAGTTAAGCATCTCAAAATAAGATAGGACAGGAAAAAGTCTCGCATTCCATAAGCATTTATCCTGCTTGCCTGTAGTGCTCCACAGGTCCCCTTCACCAATACCCAAATCATGCAAGACCCTCTTCCAGGGTTTCCCGCAGAATGTCCCAGACCCAGAAAGGGAATTCTTTGGGTTATCATGGAGGCCACAGTAAACTATGACGCTGTCAGTGCATCCAACTAAAGGAACTTCCCATAGACAATGGCGATCTGGTAGCATGAACCTAAATGGTTCTGATGGCTCATCGTTTTCTCTGGGCATATTCATACCAACAACTATGCATTGTGAGCCGATCTGTATTCCACTTGAAATTGAGTTGCCGTATAAAAGAGAGTCTTCTCCAATTGAGACACCTGGTTCAATTTTGCTTGAAAGTACAACAGCAGAAGCTGCAATGTCAGACACAGTGGTTGCTGGAATTGAACACAAGTGTCTTCGACCGACAAGTCCTGAACCAACCCCGCTCAGGTGATCTAAGACTTCACCAGACGTTCCAAAATGCAAGAATGACAATTCATCTGCAGAATAATAGTTCATGATGCGGTAAACAATGCCTATAGAAATCATTAAAAATAATGTAGTCACTGAAACTGGAAATGAGATGTGACGTACAAGCACAATAGCTGAACATTCTGTTTTTTCCCAATCTGCTGACTAATTCTTTACCCAAGGGTCGTTGTTGCAGCCAATCATGTTTTGCTGGTACCCAAGCTGCCACCAAGTCCTCATATAAGCTCAACTGATGATATAATAGCACATTAGTTTCACAATTGCCATCACTTTGGCAGAAACGAAATTCAAGAGCTTTTGCGCATTTTTTTTTTCATAAAGCAAAAAGCAATATCATGCTTAACTTCCACAATGTTGGTTGATCATCAATTGTTTAATTGATTTTACATTTCAAAGAAGATGCTCAAGACACAGAGTTTAGACAACACTAACAGGAGTAGAAAGAAGAGAGCAAGAATCGGGCGTTGCAAGGAAAGTAGACATAATATCTAATCATGATGGTCATATATTCACGAAAACAATACCCCATATACCAATTAGGAAAGCATATACATTGCCGGACATCACTGGAAATCAATTATAGACAAATAAAATAAAGCATGTTATTGAGACGAGTCCGGAAACCTGCAATTAAAACAAAATTAGACACGTTCAAAGCAGGAGAACAATATAAGAGAAGGTAATGCATCAGTGAAGAATGAAAGGTGAGCAAAGATGAAGCCCTAATAAAATGAATAGTGACAAGTGATAAGAGATGTAATGACCAAGAACAAGTAATTGGACATGGCCGTAACTGTAACAAAGGGAAGAGAACAAATAAGTACGGACAAACAACCAAGTTAACAAACACGAAAGTGGACATAAATCTTAGTAGCCTGATTAACATCTTAAACTATATAGCGATCTGAAGGCAACACCTACCACAACTTTTTATGTAAAGAGGAATGATAAGGTACAGTTGGATCTGAATACAAAGGGTAGTAAGCATGCTTGTCTATCTTGCTTAAGAACTGGGTTTGAATCACCATAAGACTGTATTCTCTTGGGCCACTCTCAATAGCACATAAATTTGTACTTTTTTTATCACCCGGTGAGTGTAGGGAGGGGGATTGTTACAATCAATAGGGAGTAATTGGGTGCTCGAAGAGCCTTGGACAATCCATACATATAGCCCATTTTTAGCAACATCTCCAAAATTTTTTGGATAACTTTGAAGCAGCTTAATTTGATAGGTTTACATATAAAATGTCTCAGAAAAAAGATCTCCAAAACATATATCACCTTAAGGTGAAGCCTGAAATATAAATACCAATAGTTAAGGAAGAGTCTCAAAAACAAGTTATCATGATAGAGGGAGTGAGTAGCCGATAAACACACATCAGAGAAGTGCTTAAATTTCTCCATATATAGAATTATTATCAATATTAAAAGTCTCCACACAACTCTCCAAGCTCTCAAAGTAAAATAAAAAAAAAACAGATAAAAAAGAAAACCACATCTCAATAAATGTCAATTAATTAGAAATGAAAGAGAGTGGTTAGATGCAATGGCTTCTTCATGTTATACATACGATGCCTCAGCAAAAGCAGTGGCTAAAATCTCATGGAAGGAATACTAATGTTCCCAGGAAGAGATAACATACAACCAAAATAAAAGCTAACCTCCTTTTTAGACTTTAGAAGTTCCAATATCATTGGTTGGCAAGAGCAAGCAAGCATGACAAGCTCCCGCCAAGCTTTACCTCTGACTGCTATAAGTCCTGTGTCAAGCAAAGACCTTCCATCATCTAGAATTGCTTCATGATTAACTAGCTCCTCAACACTAGGTTTCTGTAGGAGATTGTCAACCAAATGGACAGCCTCATCTTTAGCATGACTTTTGGAAGCTACAATTACACCGTGATTAGAAGCAATGTCAAGAGTGATGGGAACAGTGATAATCGAGGACGAGTCCTCTGGAAGAACCATGGTGGATGCATCAAAGCATGGAAGAACATCCCCAGTCATAGTGAATAAGCCACCTGCATAAAATCGGAGTAAAGTAAAAGCATCAAGAGCGCAGTAAGGGTTGTGTTTGATTCTAAGGATAAGAAGTATTGTCAGGATAAATTAATACGGCGAAGTGCCCATTAAATCTAAAGACAAACTTACTCCAACGGGCACCATTCACTATCAAAATAATCGCACAAGTTGACATACAATCAGGAAATTAAGCAGAAACTATAATTCAGTCTGCCTACACTATAACTTAATCAGACAGGCTGAACGAACTAAAACCTGCCCAGCTTCACAAAGTATTAAAAATAGTACAAGCCAGAAGAAGGGCAAATAACCTTGATCTTTAAAGGCTTGTCTTGCACAAGAAGCAATTGCAAGTATATGGTCGAAAAGTAGTGGAACAGGACCGTCAGGATCATCATCTGCCAAATATGGAAGCGGCAGAAATACCTTTCCCATAGGGTTGGCCCATGGGACCCTTTTAGAGTCGCCTCCAGCATGAAGAAGTAGTATATGCTTCTTGGATATGAAGTCGACCATTTGCAAGCGAGGATATTCTTGCTCAGACCTTCCCAATGGGACAGTAGATCCAATACCATTATCATTTGTAGCTTCCACCTATTCATTTTCCCTCGTTAATGCCCGCACGCTAAAGAGTATAGACTACACAAGTTAGGATAAGTGTTCAGCACAAGAAACAGCCATGAAGGCCATGCTCATGTTTGACAAAAGAAAATTGCTAATGAGAAGTCACACTTCCTTGGACAGCATAATCTTAATCATGAAGCAAAGAACAGTAGTGCTGCACTGAGTTAACCGAAACATCAGTAACTCGTTCAACCTATGCCTCATACGATTTAATTATGTGCCCTCATAATCCAGACACATCGATATCATCAGAACGGGGATAACAGTTCTTTTCAGTTGCAGGGCGCATCATCTGAATACCGTCACAAAGAATAAAAGCCTGCTAAAATCTTCTCAGGCCGGCCATTCATTAGGCTAGATGCTCAATGAGATAAGAACAGCTGCAAGACCACAATCAAGTCCAGAGCTCTAACAAACGAACACGCCACTTCAGACAGAGCAGATTGGACACATTAATGTCATGAAGCAATGTAGCTGGATCAACCAAGTTTACGAGGAGCTTCAGTACAGAATGCTATTATCGTTATCTTACATCACCTCTGCTTGCAATTATAAACATATAAAAAGGGAATTGTCGCAATACTGCCCTGGAGAGAACGAGGAGCTACCTCCGGAGCAATGCCGATACCGAGCTTATGGTAATGCTCGGCGAGCGCGCGGACGGCGTTGAGAGTGGCGGCCCCCGAGCCGATGCGCTGTCCGTCGGGATCGGGCACGGCGATGGCGACGGTGGAGGCGGCGATCCGGCCCATGCGCTTGGCCCGGGCGAGCTGCCACTCGTAGAGCCGGGCCTGCTCGGGGCTGGCCGCGGTCAGCACGATGGCGTCCCAGGTCGGAACCCTAGCCGGATGCCTGACGGACAGCCGCAGGTGGTACCACGATCTCCGGAGCACGGCGGCCAGATCGGCCTTCTGCCTGGACCGGCCGCGCGCCGCCTTCCGTCCCGCAGGCTCCATTTCCATCCGCGATCGCCGTCGCCGTCCGCCGGTCGCCGGCTGAAGTTTCTCGAGAAAGCGTGGGGAAAATCGCCGGAGGAATTCGCCGAGTCGCTGCTGGTCACTGAGAAAGTAAGCAGAGAGAGAGAGAGAGGCCGAAGCTGCAGTAGGGAGGAGACGCGGTCAATAATGGGAGTCGTCAGCAACTTTGTAGCGACGAGATCGTATGTGGCGACGATCAGGTGTGACCCCAGAGGCTTGCCGCCAAATCCGACAAGTTGTGTTGGGGGAACTGTCCCCTCTCTGGAAAGAGAATATCGCATGGTGATCGCGTAGGCCGAGTCCATTTCGACCTTTGATCAAGTCCCGTCTCGTAGTGAAATCTGTGTCACCAGTGACTCCTCGCTAGAACCGTCAAATTGGTGGTCGGATAGAAAATGGTCCGGATCCAAATTGACCAATTTACCCCGTTTTTACTCATTTACATAAAATGTAAATTTAGTGACCCATATTCGATTAGACTCAACTCATACCCAACTCGACTCAAACTAAAATGAGAGTGCGGAGTGAGTAGACGCGAAATTAAGTGAGGGTATGAGAAAATGAGTCATAGAGGTAGGTTGGGTTTAAATAAATTGTGAGGGCAAATTTAGTGACCCATGTTCGACTCGACCTATACACGACTCGACTCAAACTGAGATGAGAGTACGGAGTGAGTAGGTGCGAAATCGAACGAGGGCGAGAGGAAATAAAAGTAGGTTGGGTTTAAATAAATTGTAGATCTATTTATGACCCACTTAACACTTATATTATGTTGGTATTTAGTATTTGTCAATTCATTTACTGCTGAATATAAATAACTAAACCAATCAATATGGGTTAAGAAATGCCATTTTGACGGGTCTACATTTCTTGCTTACTAATTCCTGTAATCGCGAGTTTCACATCATCGAGTACTCCACTAATCGCCACGGATTTCTCCACCGGATGCTGACTCGAGAGGATGTGTAAAGGCAATTAATTAACCTAGGTACCCAACAAGGCAACAAGGTTGCATCATGCCTAGACAAGAACGACCAGACCAAATCAATTCGGGATGATTTCCTCTTGAAGAACACCTTATTTGATCTTGATTGCTCTCTTTCTTTCGTCGACAAGACGCCGTACATTTTAGTCTAATAGCAGATGTTACTCGCTAGTCACCGGTTGTCCAATGGCGGTGCGGCTAACAACAATTTAATGTAAGTCGGCATGACATTTTTTAATACGACAAGTCACGCATTATTAGAAAGTTAGTGCCTACATCCTCTCTCTTGCCATCAATTTGCTCTACGTCGATTGTTCCGCTCCAATCGGAAGTGCATTACTCAGTTTCTGAGAGATTATAACAAGGGTGCTCGAATCTAAACCTATTAACATGCATGATCTATCCGATCTCTATAAAACCCTTGGTTAGGAGATCATCAGATATGGTTAACTTCTCTCGCCAACATCAAGCTATTCAATGTGGAACTCCGATTTAGCAACATCATCCTAACAAGTGCACTCAACAATAACAAGCCACTGTCCCCGTCTCCCGTGCTCTTTCTCATGTCTGTCTAGTTCACTTTCCATGTTCCAGGACGAGGAATCCACCAGAGGGAATGCTTTCTTTTCCCTCCTCCTAATTCACTCTGTTTCTTTTAAGCGAAGACAGACGCCGAAGGAAACAAATAATGTTTGAGCGCAACATCCAGAAAAGGATAAAACGTCGAAATCACGGTTTCCAAAAGGCCCAAGTACCAGTTGAACATGATTTCTGGTCCCGCCTTTTGGGCCACACGGGGTACTGAATTGGCTTGGCGACCATGGCACTGAGAGCTCAATCTTCCCGCCAGTTCTTCTTACATCTCTCGTTCAGGCACCAATAGAATGTTGTCATCGGCTCATCAGCAGAACGTATCTGAGCTTGATGGTAGATAGCCTTTCCATGGCCACAGTGTGGGCATGTCACTGCAAATGGCAAAACGAATCAACAAACCCACCACTCCAAACACAAATGTGCCCCATGATCAGACAAATATCGATCTACATCAGATGAAGAACAAGTGACAACGTAGTTATGATCACCCTTAAGGCCAACTTGAACAGCAACATGAGAGATCTGCTGACTATGCTATGACACCTCTAGCTTTTAGAATTACGCAAAGCCAAGAATCTCAACTCTCAACTCAACAAAATATGAAGTATAACATCAGATTTCTTTTCCTACATCTCTCATGGTTTACAAGTAAAATTACCTAAATATCAGGACACTCAGCAAACTAGACAACAGCAGTACGTGCTTTTCTTCATCTCAACAAAAATGAAACATGGATTTGCACAATGGAACTCCGTTTTCTTATTGCGATTTTTATTCATTGGTTGCGGCATGTACAATCATCGGCAGTTAGAACAGAGAGAGATCCAACAAGGATAACACACACTAGAAATTAATCTTGGTAGCCTTATTTCTTCATGACCACTATCGAAAGAAATAGAGACCGCTGGCCTTGCTTTCTTATTTCCTTAACTTTTAAGCTGCTTTAAATTTTGTTTTCTAAGATAGCAAGAAAAAACACTTTCCTCATCACCTGTGATTCTAAAGTGACCTCATCGTTCAAATGTTTTTTCTATCCACCAGCTTATTCAAGCCAAGAGAGGTGAAGAGAGAAGAAATCGCAAAGTATAAGGGAAGAAAAACAGACCGCCATCGGTTTGGGGTCCATTTCTCCTATCTTCTTCCGAGAAGACAGGGTCCATCTGTTTCCTAACCAGATGTTGCTTCCTCTTTATCTTAACCTGCAAACAGACGACCGAAGCCGTGGTCGTGGAAAAGTCATGCCAAAGACACGTGCGAGGGCCAAGCAACAAGAGGAAACGAAGCAAGTTCCTACCTTGCTCTCGACATTACAGACATAGGGACAAGTTGGGCAGAAAAATCTGGACGGCCGGTCCCTGTGAGGCAACTCGTACTGCAACAAGTTCCCACAAGTCGGGCAAAATTCCATTTGCTATCCCCTCTGCACAATGCACTTCATCGTAAGGACATTGGAGGAAAAAGAAAAACTGAGTCCTGCATCAACGCTCTCTAAGTTCAATATCATCGCCCGCTAGAATTTCGTAACCCATAGCATGGCGACAAAATCAACACATTCCCCTTTTCCTCTTTCCCCTTCAAAGTTTTGGAACGAACTCCTAATTCAACTCAGCAACTAAAACTAGAAAAAGAGACAGTGAAGCCCAGTTGGAATAGCAAATCCGGGACCGATCATCAGTCTATTCGCCTAAATACGAAGAGCATTGTATGCAATAGCACCTTGGTCATAGGCAAAAAACACATCAACATACGAGTAAATGGGAATGCAATCAAGTTTCTGCAGCTACACGACCTGCACTTTGAAAGAAGAATGAAAGAATATATCTATGAGACAGATATCAACGAGCTCGGCTTCTAACAAATGCACAATTCTTCGGTATACACATCCATGGTGCTGCCTTTCGGCATCAGCGTACAACATCAATCCTACACGTCAAACACATCACCACCATTGCAAGTTCATCATGCCCTCCGGCATCAATCAAGCATGAAATTTTTTTTGCCTCAATCGACATCCCACGCCTAACGAGCAGAAAAAAACTAGATTGTTGTCGGAGAACAGAGAAATCAACAGAGCAATCCGGGCGACAAGAATCGAAATCGAAATAGAGAAACCCGTCGAAGTCGCTCGATTCGCCATTACCTGTGGACGGCGGTGGTGTTCGGAGCTCGGCCGCTACCGAGCCGGAGATGACGGTGCCGCGACCTCTCTGCACGGCAGAACAGAAGCAGTCCGTATGAACGGAGGAATTCAAAGATATGCAAACTGTATGCACGTATGACGGGGGCAAAGCAGTCGCCGTTACCTGCGACGGAGCGATGCCGGAGATTGTGGTCGCGCCGCCGGAGACGATGGTGAGTGAAGGAGAGGCTTGGGGACGGCTTTCAGGACTTCAATGACCGGTGGTTTTCCTGTAAATTAGTGTTAATACTTTCTAGACTGATCGAGTCTTAAAAATCGAAAAAAGTTTGATCAAGCCCTAAAATTTGTTAAATTGATTCAATTGAGTCCTAAAAGTTATCACCGTCTAACTTACTAAGGAAAAGCGCTGCTGTTTTCTACGTGGCGATGATATGACTAAATTATAAAACATAGGACTAAAAGACGTCGTTTTGGCTCAAATTTAATTTATAATACTAATTTTATTTAAATTAAAATTTTAAAAATAAGCTAAATAATTTTAAAAAATGATTAATATTACGAAAAATTCTATATTGGTACACCTGTGATAAATTTACCTTTCGTTAAATTTTACTATCAAATTATTGAGTTAAAAGACTAGTGGTAGTTGACAGGTGTACTAATTTAGGGTTTTATCCTTTTTTGTCACAGATGTATCAGTTTGTGATTTTTCGTGGTATTAATTCAATTTAACGAAAACTAAAGGTAAATTTGTCTTAAATGTACCGATTTGAGGTTTTTGATTTTTCGTAAATATTAATCCTTAAAAAAAAAGAAGATGATCAGCAGTGGTTAACGGGGGGGGGGGGGGGGGGAGGGGGGGGCGCAAGCCCTCGCCGCCACCGCTTCGCCATTGCCAGGAGGGGCCCTCGGCCAGGTTTGGGCGAGGGCCGACGACTCTCGCTTGGTCTAGGGGAGGGCCGCAACTCCTCGCCTAGATCTGGGCTTGCCGTCCCCCACCCTCGTCGGTCCCTCCCATCGATGGAGGGGTGGCGGCGACGAGGGCTTGCGGCCCTCCCCGCCTGACTTCGCCTCCTCCTCCTCTTTTATTTTTATAAAAATATTTAGCTTATTTTTAAAATTTAATTTAAATAAAATTTGTACCGGTGGTTTTCCTGTAAATTAGTGTTAATACTTTCTAGACTGATCGAGTCTTAAAAATCGAAAAAAGTTTGATCAAGCCCTAAAATTTGTTAAATTGATTCAATTGAGTCCTAAAAGTTATCACCGTCTAACTTACTAAGGAAAAGCGCTGCTGTTTTCTACGTGGCGATGATATGACTAAATTATAAAACATAGGACTAAAAGACGTCGTTTTGGCTCAAATTTAATTTATAATACTAATTTTATTTAAATTAAAATTTTAAAAATAAGCTAAATAATTTTAAAAAATGATTAATATTACGAAAAATTCTATATTGGTACACCTGTGATAAATTTACCTTTCGTTAAATTTTACTATCAAATTATTGAGTTAAAAGACTAGTGGTAGTTGACAGGTGTACTAATTTAGGGTTTTATCCTTTTTTGTCACAGATGTATCAGTTTGTGATTTTTCGTGGTATTAATTCAATTTAACGAAAACTAAAGGTAAATTTGTCTTAAATGTACCGATTTGAGGTTTTTGATTTTTCGTAAATATTAATCCTTAAAAAAAAAGAAGATGATCAGCAGTGGTTAACGGGGGGGGGGGGGGCGCAAGCCCTCGCCGCCACCGCTTCGCCATTGCCAGGAGGGGCCCTCGGCCAGGTTTGGGCGAGGGCCGACGACTCTCGCTTGGTCTAGGGGAGGGCCGCAACTCCTCGCCTAGATCTGGGCTTGCCGTCCCCCACCCTCGTCGGTCCCTCCCATCGATGGAGGGGTGGCGGCGACGAGGGCTTGCGGCCCTCCCCGCCTGACTTCGCCTCCTCCTCCTCTTTTATTTTTATAAAAATATTTAGCTTATTTTTAAAATTTAATTTAAATAAAATTTGTATTAAAATAATTATAAAAAGTCATATCATCACCACTTAAGATAGAAAAATAAAAAAAAAGTCACGTCAGTATTTTTTGTAGAAAATTGGACAAACTTAGTTTTTGGACTCAATTGAACCAATTTAACAAATTTTAGGATTTGATTGCACTTTTTGCAAGTTTTTAGGACTCAAATGCTCTTTCGTGACAAGTTTTAGGATTTTCAGTAAACATATTCCTAATTTTTATTAAAAGATTAATAAAAACTAATATCTGAAATTCATATATTAGATAGTTTGTCAAATTCTTATTACTATTGGATAATGGCTATTTTCAGTGGGCCATATCACCAATCAGTCATTTTGGCTACATCAAATAAATAAATATTTTTTTCATTTTTAATGAGAATTTAACGTTGGGTCATGGATTGAATTGGTTATATGAAAACAATTTAAAGCTAACAGAGCCTAAATACGAAAAGTTATGCTTATCATATTGAATTACCTCTTTTTTATATTATCAAAATGGGCACGAGCGATGCAATGAAGAAAATTAATTCTGTTGTGTTCAACATTCTTATTTTTCTTAATCAGAAGAATGTGTTAACTGTAAGGGTTATTACCACGAAAAATCTCAAATTATTACACCTGTGACAAATTTAGCCAAGATTAATTTTTTGACTACAAAAAATCATAAATTGATACACCCGTGACAAATTTACCCTCCGTTAGTTTTCATTAAATTTTACTGTCAAAATGCTTAGTTAAATGACACATGACAGTTGACAAATGTACCAGTTTGGGGTTTTACCATCCGTTTGTACTGGATGTACTAGTTTGTGATTTTTTTTTATTAATTCAATTTAATTGAGGGTAAATTTGTTATAAATATATTAGTTTGGGATTTTTTGTGGTCAAAAAATTAGTTAGGGGTAAATTTGTCACAGGTACACCGAATTGGGATTTTTCATGGTATTAATCCTAAATGTAATTCTATTTATCGACAAAAAAAATATAATTCTATTCCATCACAGTGAATGAAACGAAACTTCTCTCGTGTGTTTTTGTTAGATTGTAAATCAACAATTTGATGCCTCCGACTAAAATTTTAAACCTTCTCTATTGTAAAAAAGAAATTTTGCGTTTCTTTTTAGTATTAAAGTCTTCCCATTCATAGTCAATATTTATTTTTCACATTGTATATGCAATACAAAAAATATAAAGATTATGTATATTTGGACTTAATTGCATTAAAAATGAGAGGAAATGAATTTGAATTCGACCGATATACTCAAATAAAATGAGATTTTTGTATCAATGGCAAAAAAAAAATGATTCAACGACAATATTGATGAACTAATTTGGTAAATGAAAGTCAACATTTTCAACAATTTAATTCTTTGTTTTGTAGACTATTCTTTATCGGACTAATTCTTTTTTACTTTAGTTTGATAAAATGAACTCATTTAATAAGAAAATAACGAGTTCTATGAAAAAGTGGTTTTTGCAAATGAAAATTACAAATTAACTAAGGGCATTATCTTTATATTTGGACAAAATAACAAAAGATAAATATTATATTGTTTCACCAAAAGTGGGAATTCATCCGGCAAGTGAAATATCCTTCATCAAACAATTGATTTTGGTTTTTATGAAAAAGGGTTTTGGATTGATTTTGGATAGGAAATAACTTGGCTTGAAATTGAAGTAAATAAAAAGCAAATTCTGGAAATTAGAGTGTGGAGAAATTAAATCCGGCCTTCCTCTTCGCACATCAATCAATCTTATCCATAAGCAGTTACGACTTTCCACCTCACTAAACGGGGCCTAAGATGACTGCCACTTGATAGTAGCACCTTCATGGACATTCCTAATCAATTCATATTCCATGTTCCTCAAGCCAATACTCAGTAAAATTTGTGGCAACTAATCATTCACCGGCTTTGTCGCTGAGTCATGATACTTTTCAATTTGTTCTTTGCCCGGTGTCGATAACCTTACCATGTAGTTGTCGATTTACCAACGTCATTTATGTATCCCTTTTTACCAAAATCTTGATTAACCGATCAAACCCCACCATATGTGTCTATTAGAATGAGTTAGTTATTTTTTGTGTATACACACACACAAATTTACTCTTAGGCTCCGTTCGTTTGGCGGAAAATATTCTCCTTTTGGAAAATATTTTCCCGGAAGTCATTTTCCTGAAAAATATTTTTCTGGAACACAATTTTTTGGTGTTCAGCGACCGCCGATCTGGCGACGTCCGGCGACTCGGCGGCGGCGATCGGCAATCGGCGGCGGTCGGTGGCGGCGGGCGGCGACGGGCGGCGGGGCGGCAACAGAATCATGGCGGCGGAAGGGCCTATGGCGGGCGGCGATCGTGGCGGTGACCGACGGCCTGGGCGCGGCCGACGGCCGACGCCGGATGCATGGCCGACGATCGACGGCAGGACCGGCGACCGACGACTTGCGGCGCGCGATCGGCGACCAGCTGGCGGCGGTGGATCGGCGACGGCTACAGCTGGCCGACGACCGACGGTGGACTGACGTTTCGACGACCGGCGGCAGCTGACCGGGCGGCGGCCGGGCGGTCGGGCGGCGGCGACTGGTGGCGAGGTTTGCGATCGACGGCCGGCGGCGGCCGACGATCGATGGTGACCGGCGACCGATGACCGGTGGCGGCGATCGGCGACGGCGACCAACGGCCATTGCCGATCGGCATATGGCGGCGACGGCGGCGACCAAGGCGACCAGTGGCGGCGGCGACCGGCGGCCGACGACGGTGACCAGCGATCAACTTCCTCTCCCACGGAAAATATTTTCCCCCAAAATGAAGGCAAAATTGCCTATGGGAGGGAAAATGTTTTCCGTGGGAAGTTATCCGCCAAACGAACGGAGCCTTAGTGTGAGACTATAGAGAAATAACAATTAGAACGTGGCATAATGAATAGCAATCTCTTCAAGACGAAAAACGTATGTGGTGGTTACACCAATTGACATAGAGAGTCAACGTTTTTCGTGATCACTAGCAAGAGTGGCATAACACGTGAGTAAGACCCTAGTGTCATGGGCGATAGTTTCTAGGCTAAGGAATAGCCTATGCGACGCTTGATGAGCTGAGAATACCAGGTCAGCTTTCCTTCGATAGATCGTTGTTAAATATAATATGGTGAATCACATTCTCACACCGAATTATACCAAGCCCAATTTAATTTGGGTATCTAGTCTCTTGTGCGAGACATACATATCACTTGAGTACAACAACTTGTTTCGACTTGCTATTGCTTC